TATCCCCTCCCTTTTTTATTGTGAGCCGCCCTGAGTCTCTCGGAAATAGGGCGGCATACAAACTCAATAAAATGAAAAATGAAATGAAAGCTGTTCCGGGTTGCCATTTTGGCCTCTGTGCCTCATCTTTTCAGTCTCCGAAAGCTGCCTTTGAGACGCGTTCAAGGCTGTAGGGATCGCCAAAGCACATTGCTGATCGCCACCCAAATATGCAATGCAGAGGCAAAAAATGGGGCATGTGGAGGCCTAAAACGCGATGCACAGAGGCGGCTATCGATGGCAATGTCCTCTGGCAATCCCTGCAGCCTTGAATGGGTCTGAAATGGAGCATTCAGACGCTGAAAATACGAGGAAAGGCCAAAAATGCAAGCCATGGATGGGGCAATGGTTTGTGGCAATCCCTGCCGCCTGGAACAGGTCTAAAACGTGACGCACGGAGGCCCAGGGGTGGGGGCTGGTGGGTGACATTCAGTGTATAAGATGCACCCTTATGTGATGTGAATTTCACAACAGCAATAAATAGAAGTCAAATCAACTACCTCTGCATTGTTGTAAAAAGCAGTGCTGTTCTTTTCTTGTACATCTTCTCCTCGTGCTGTGAAGAATGTCAGAGGATAAAAGTCTTTGTGTGCAGGCTGTTTTCCACTGGCCATCAATTTGCCCTCATAGAAAAGCTCAGAAGTATAACTGCAATGGAGAAGAACAAAAGAAAAAAGGTAGAAATATTATATAAGAGTTGAAGCTGTATAAGCAGGCACCAGCAATATTCAGGCCAAAGAGAACCATTATGTAAACATTTTGCTTGTTATTGCGTTGACCTGTGAATCAGACATAGTTTTACAACTTCAGTATGTTTTTATGTTAATACATAGCAATGCCCAGAAGCTGTGAATGAATGCCTCAGCACGTATACCAATTTTAGCATCATTCTGATATTTAGTTATGTTTTGATTAATTCTATCTTCTTCAATCTGATATTCTACAGAGGTGTTGAGATCACCACTCCTAGAATTCCCCATCACAATGCTCAGTAGCTAAGGAGTATAGCTTGAACATTTCTGGAAAATACCAAGATGAGAATAGGAAGGGGTAACATTTTATAAGCAACTACTGTATTTGGGAGTATTTGTTACAATGCAAATGATAACTTGCATATGTTAAGAAACAAAATCTGATAGAAAATAATATATATGCATTTTTTTGTTTCTCGCATTCTCTGTGCTTGCTCAAATAATAAATCTTTGAAACCCAAGCATTCATTTTGAAAATCACTTTTAAGAAAAAAAGATTGTTATTTATTCAGGATAGTATACTATAACATGCCTAGTTATATTTGTCAGACCATTTATGACATTTTATGTTAATAGAGATATTCCTAAAAATATTTTACAGAAGTACAAGATGAAATATGAAATTCTGCTTTCCTATGAATGGGAAGAGAGATCCTCCTCTAATTTAGCCATCAGGATATAAAAATTCTTATTTTACATGCTGTTATTTAACAGTAATGATGGTGCGACATCAGCAGTAGCAACTTTCGGAAGTTACAGGTGGAGAACCTGCATAAGTACAAAGATCCTATTTTTAAAATGCATCCATGATGTCTCGATGCAATTTATGTAGCATTCCTTTGCCAATTTTGGACAGATAATTAACCAATTATTTTTGCCATTTTGTCTGAGCATCTGTATTTTGAGGGTGAAAGTTCGCTCTCCGAGCTTGTGGATTGGTTTCCAAATGTTTTGTTACCAGGCTAAGTAACATCTTCAGCGGAGTTTAGGGGATGTCAGTGTCAGTTTTCCTCTGTTTATAAGGGCTTCAGGTGTAGGGGTGTCAAGTGAAGATCTAGTGATGGGTCAGCTGGGAGTCATTAGTAGGTCTTGTGATAAGGAGATAAGGTAAATTGCTGGTGGTGGGGGGGTTGAATGGGTTGGTTGAGGTTCGGTGCTGTCTCTGGTTGACTGAGCGATTGATTTGGATTCTGAGGAGTTCCTAGGCTGGTTGTAGGTCAATGTGTCTGTTGATGGAATTGCTTGTGGAGGTTTCGATG